TGAGCTTAAAGCTCGGTAACTAACATTTTGAAGGCCTTGACATTAAAAGCACTTCAAACAAAATGTTGCCCTTTATCACATTTTTTGTTTGTCTTTGAATTATTTCATTTTAATGAAACTATTTCACAGTTCAAATTGCGTTTAATTACAATTATTTATTATTTAATTAATTCATGTGGAAGTAATTTGTATCGTAACCGAAAAGATTAATTTTAGTAGCATTAGTGGCGAATAGAACGTAATATTCTAAATTTAAATTAACACTGTACCCTACATGTTTTAATGATAGATTCAAAATAAGATTAGTATTGCCAATTGATTAAGCTATAAATATCTAACATCCTGTCCCAAATGTGATAAGAAAACTGGCATTTAAGATGCTGTCAATTATGTATTAGGTTCACTTAACTTTGCGGTCTAATTAAATGAGCATTATATTAATATTGATTTAGTTTACTTTTCTGCGTGTAAAAATAGGTACACCTTATGAATTTATAAGTTTGTTAGAAATAATGTTTCGATTAACAGATTGTGAAAATCACATAAAGCTCCCTGCATATTAAAGGGGTGATTTGATTGTAAATAATACTTATATCTTTCCGCTACTCGTGAACAAACAGAACAGTTAACCTGACAAAGTTATGTCACTGAGCCATGGTCGGTCGGATGATTTTATTCAAGTCATATTTAAAATATCTGAAACTCGGGTATGGTGCTGACGGTTAATTTAATTGATTAAATAAAAATTCACTCACCGATAATAATAATAAATATCTCTGCACCATTTTTAAAGTTTTGTTTGAACGTCCACACGTCAACACGAACCACTGTCAAGTTTTAAGTTGGTCAATTTGCGACAGCTTTTTGCTTTGCGCCAAACCACTACTATTGGTAAAAACTTAAAATTAATATAAAGCACATGAGAACCGAGTACCCTACGTTTTGTATGAAAAAGTAGTTCGATAATGTATGTTTTAAGCCAAAACAGTTTTTGAAGCTATAGCAACCCTTTTAAAATCATTAATAAAGGTTTGATCTTTGGCAAGTTCTGAACTGGCGAGCCAAAACTTTAAAAAATAAATTATTTTAAATTAACCGATTTACGTAATGTCTCATTTCTTTCTTCGTGACAGTGTTCAACACAATTTAACAGAAATATAAAAAATAGTACTTTAGTTAAAAAATACAATAAGAAGTGGGTACAAGTGTCATTTTGACATAAATGTCGACAAGATGTCACATATAAACACTATATTATAGAATACCTAAAAGCAAAGTCAAAAATGCTTACTGTTTAAAACTTTACGCTTTATTAAAGTTAAAATATAATTACCTTCATGATATGCATATTAATATAAGATTTTCCGATTTTCTACTGATTATATTTCTTTTCGAATATCGTAAATATTACTTTCGAGGACTCGTAGTAATGTTATGGACCCACGATGTGAAAGTTGGCGTCCGCTAATCAAAAAGCATCCAAACATTTCGAACTTGTATTCCATTTTTTTAATATATAAACATAGTTATAGTCGAACACTTTGTCCTGTTAAAAAAAGTCCTCATTTCCAAAGATTTTTTTAAATCAAACTTGACTCGAGAGATTTTTTTGAAGGTTAAATTAAATTACACAGTAGCTTGTATAGATACGGCAATAGGACAGACACTTGTATACCTATTGCATGGATATCTTTTTGGGTGACCTTTTTAGGTCTTAGGAACCCATTTGAATTATTGTTACGCCGTGAATCGAATCTGGAATCCAGCCACACGTTCTAATATTATGACTTAGTGGTAACACGACCAACAGTCAGAAGGAAACAAGTTACTCGCCGGAAGTTGGTTTTCAAAATTGCTGTTAAGATAAAATATACAGTACTGCAATAATTAATTTAATTAAACGCCGTAACTTTCACTCGTTCACATAGTTGAAATTATAACAATTATTTATACAGTCAATTTTATTAATCAATTATTAGCAGTGACTAGGTGGGTCAATCTAATAGTTTCTAAAACATACTTATCTACAATAAAAAAACCTAACCCGTTGCAACTAAGGCTTTGTTATAATAAAACGCCTTATAGAATTAACACCGCAAACTCGCTTTTACTAAAATTGGTCATTATCGCATCTATTAATTTCATTAATTTTCGTATTTAATGTACCCAGTTCTTCTTGCTTCACCGTTATCCGCAAATATTAGTCTATACAAAATCTGACTTGTCTTGAAACTCTAATCATATATTATTATTAATATCTTCGGTCACTTATTTATTTGCCACATTATGTAGGAACATTGTAGGTTTTAACGCTCACCATTTTTTCATATTATTTAGTCATAATAGTGCAGTTTTAAGATAAAAGATTCGATATCTTTACACTTAGTTTTTTTTAATATAAATACATAGTACTTTTAAATACAAAATATACATAATATATAAATACTCACATCTATATATCATACAGAATTATGGGTCAATAAAATTAATGACAAAAAATAGATCAGGTTGCTTCAACTGGTTCTATGATTAATAATGACGAAGTAACGGTTTTAATTTATCGTTATAAACATAATAAATCTCACGCTTATGAGTTATTTATAATTCATAGGTCATTAACCTCCTAAAAACAGCGAATTATGTTTAACAATAGAGACTTGGCCTGTGGATTTTTCATAATTGTAATATATAACAGTATTGGATACCCCAAGTCAATTTTTATAAAGCATTCCGTTTTAAACTTACATATTTATCGAACTTTGTCCCTCAGAAACAAACGTGAAACTAAAAAAAATTGTGCGTGTACTAGGTGTACACACGTAAGAAGTGAAACTTCTTTATGATCTTATTTTTCGAAAAATGATCTACTATATGCAACTTTACAGAAATTCGTTAAATTAGATAAAGTTTAACAAAAGGCTTTTATTATCATAGACATGAATACAAATATTTCATTTTACCTTATTACTACGAAGATTATTATAGAATTTCATTAATTGTAATAGAATTATTACTATCATTGAAAAACGTGACGATTTGCTACAAAGTTTCTCCCATACGTCGATAAAGAAGTTTCATTCCAACGCCGATAAAGAAGTTTGACTTCAAAAAGCAACATGGCGCGTAACCGAAAAATGTGACGCGTAACGAAAAAATGTTACACTAAATTTTTCACTTTTCACTTTTCGTTTCACTTCAAAAAGTAAGTTTGTTCCTCTCTGTTTGTTTAAGCTGGGTTTTTTAATTTTATTTTTTTGGTATGTTTATAGGTAAGGAATTTTTAGTGTGGTGTGGCCTTTTGGGGATCAAACCCTTAGTGATTTTTCGGTGTTTTAGTTTATTTGTTTTTATTGAAATCGTAAGAATTGCATCTACTGTAGTAATTTTAACATTTAAAACGTTACTCGAAATGTTAACCTTAGACATTCTAAATTATGTTTATTTATGCTTTAAAAATGCCAATATTTAACCACAATTACAAATATTTATTAACAATTTATTTAATTGTTATTTCGTCAGGGTAATAAAGCCATTCTGTAAGATCGAGATGAAGACCTTCATATAATTGCATGTCTGAATAGAAGATATCAATACAATTTTATACTGTACATTTTTGTTTTTGTTAAAAGTAAAAAAATAAGATACTTTAACTCTCTTCGGCTTCTATTCTTCAACAATCAAAATAAGTGTTTAACCTTTTAGGTCTGGGACTCAGATTTGTGTATCTATTTTATCTAATAGGCTATTAGGTGATTAGCCTTCTGTATGACACACGCCTTCGACATTTTGGGTCCAATGCATGTCGGTGATTTCCGATGATTCCTTCACCGTTCATGCAAGTGTTAAATGCGCACATAGACAAAAATTCCACGGGATCTACAACCTTAGGGATGAGATTTGCACGAAGACATTAAGCCAACACTTCTCCTGTAGTTCAGGATTAGACAAAGTGCTGCCTGTCCTTGTGGCGATACAGCTGAAGAGACAGTGTTACATGTTCTGACTGACTGTCCAATGGATACGACAGGTATAACACTGAGCAAGCTATGGGCATAAAAGTAACAGAGACGAATTTAAAGAAAATAATGTTTAATATTAGGTTAAGAGGCATCTTTTTAGGATTTGCTGTAAGGGCCATACAAAAAGTTGTTAAAAGAAATAGGTAGTAGTGTTTAAACATTCGCGTTACCAATACCATTTACGTAAGCTATTTAATACCTCCGACGACTAGATAGTCGGGGAATTATCTAGAAAGCATTAATTTAAAAAAAAAACACTGCTCCTGTATTTAAAGTATGTATCTACCCGATTCAAAGCAAATCAATGACGAATTGAGACAAAACATTTAAGGACTTATCAATTTATTGTTATGGAGACTTAAATCAAAACATTTTCAAGCTTTTTGTATTGAACTTACCTATTCGTAGTTTGCTTCTAGAAATGACGCAAAGTTATCATAAAAGGAAAGCCGTTATACAATAAACTTTTTATGTCTTAAAAATTAGCATATATATTATTCAGACTTGTTTTATTCCTAATCATAATTTATTTTACATAGAACGTAATTTGCCAAACTAGGCTTTCTTGCTTAAATTGCCTAAGAATTGTTTTTAAGATAGAATTACAAATAAATACGAAAACAACATGTGTTATTTATATAGATTTTCATTAATTACGGTAAAAATGATATCAAAATAAATTAATCACTATTCGTTAAACAAATTGTATTAAAATATGTTTAATACTAACTTAAACGTAAGATTAAATTAGTTTAGTTAATATTTCATCGTTTACAAAATTAATTTGTGTAACAAATGCAAATATTACATTGAAAAATACAGTATCAAACAAGTTTTTTTAACATTTAATAATGTGAAATCTTTACAAGTAGTTTGATCAAACTTACATTTTTCTTTATGCTTAAATTAATCAGAAATACGTATTAGGATTAGAAAATATTTTTATGTAAAATAAATTTGGACCACTTTCTTAAATATCATTTAAACTGTTACCAAAATTTGTAGTAACTGCCTACCATTTCTATCACTTTTTTTCCACGAATTCGACTCGCACATCATCATGTCTTCGTCAGCGATAGCTCTGGCTTCGGTCTGTATTGTAACATCTTGCTTTACTTTATTTGTCACTCTAGCATCTCCCCTATTTCCTAAATTCGGCACAGATCTCTCTAGTTTAATCTCTTGATTTATGTTAAAAATATTTTGTGGCACTGTTTCACTCTTCGTTACATTCTTTCGTCTTTCTAAGCGTATGTCACTCTCCCTATTACTGACAGTTCCTCTGAAATTGACAATCACTGTGGGTTTAACTACAGTTTGCGATTCACGATTACCAATTTGACTGAATCCAGTCAACGAATTTGTTACAGGTTTTTGTTCACTCACTGGTTCTTCACTTTCTTTTGTTTTGATTTTATTTTTGATAGTCGGCCTTGGGCGTTTTGTGTTTTTCGGTTTGAACGTGGTAGTTTCACTTTCTTCTGGCGAGTTTATGTATAGAACAATTTCTTCTTTTGCACTTTCGCCTTTTGTGTCATTGATGTCTAGGCTTTTAGGAAAACGATATTTTAATGTAGGCATTTCAAGTCTATCATTTCTTCTTGGAAGGAAGTCAAAGTCATCTGGTAGGTTCAGATCATTTTCGTAGTTAAATTTTTCAAAGCTTTGTTTCAGATGATTTTCTTCCTCCGAAAATTCTTCTGGTAATTGTGCTCTTATACGAAGTGATTCTATGACGTCACGGAAAAGCGATCTTCGTTGTTGGGTGGGACTTTCTCGATCTTTCGGTGGGTGCGCGGTGCATATGATCAGTAGGTAAGCAAAGCAGATAAAACACTGCATCTGGAAAATTTAGATTGATTATAAATAATATTAAAAATATCTAAAATAGCTATTGCACTTTTGTTACATGTAAAGACCAAAAAGTTAGAATTAATTGATTATTAAAGGGCCGTAGATAAAAACAAAAGTGGATACCTTGAATGTGCGCGTCAGAGTGGAAAGTAATGCTCGGACTGACGGTGATCTGGAAGAAAGGGTTGATTGAACCGATGTGAACTGAGACAGCTGTGCTCAAGCGTTAGATAATTAAATAAAAGTCAATACGATTCGCAAATTGTAGGCTACGTTTACTGTTTCTTTTGTACTGTTTAAAAAAATATTTGTCTAGACTAGTTTCCGTGATTGGATTAATAAGCTTAGCCACACCTTTTTTGGAGTGAAGTGCTATAGCACGAAAATTACGAAAACGTTTTTTTCCTTTAGATTTTATTTAGGTTGTTTGTCTATAAGTGCTAATCACTTTAAATATTTTATTTTATTTTTCAAGTACTAATGTATCAGTGTACCGAGTGTTGGCAAGCTTTTATGAATAAATAAATAATACATTCCTTTACTGTTATGTAAAATGTAGCTTTGGTCTACATTATTGCGTTCTAGGATTGTACCCGCGATAATTTTAACAGCGTTACAACATTCTTCCTCGATAAATGGACTATCCAATACAATATTATATAAATTCATACCAAAAAGTATACTGAGATAGCGTGCCTAACCCAACTCTTTATAGCTTCTAGCTTTAAAGATATAAAAATTAACTCATATTAATTAACGAAAAGGTGAATTGAATAAGTACTCATTCTGTCAATTTCTGTTTACGCCGTGATGAACAGAGACTTTAATTACACTAACACCATCTAATAACATCTAACATTTATTTATTTATTGTATGTATTGCGCTATGTGTTGACAACGCCTGGATACAAGTAGCAACCTGTCTAAGTAAGGAATCTAAGTTTTATAGAAAAGCTAGTCTTTAATAAGTCTGTTGCTTAGTGACGCATTTAGTTGCAATGTTTGATTCCTTGGAGCACCAAAACGATCTCGTGTTTGAAGGTTAATCATTTTTCTTGCCTATTATATGGAGTATAAGCGGGTAGGAGACATCTCATGGACACTTTTTCTGCATTTGATTTATTAAATTATTTATTTGTTCAATTTCTTGTATTGATCTTATTTCCATGATTTAATTTTGAAAAATCTTTTAAAAATGAACTCGTCAATACTCAATACAATCACACTGATAATCAAGTATCAACCATTGATGTTTAGTTTCTGTCAGACTTATACTTGAATGGCGGTTGGAATAACGCTAGTAAGAACAGTTACGCCGACGTTATACATACTAGGTTTATTATTCCGGGTTTATTAGTAGACATTTTGCTTCTTCTTGCTTTGCTCGCAAGTGTGCTGGTAAAGTGAAAATCATGATATCCATATATAGATTGACGAGACTCCATCACACAACCTCAAGGTTGTTAAATTTGTTGGAAAATATATAATTAAGATTAGATAAAATTATTAATTATTATCGCAGTGTGGTTTTTCTATGTGCGCAATTTACTGTTCGCAAGCTAATAGAATTGTGTGGAAATCGGTATGCTTAGGTAAACCGGTGACACGTGGCTAAAGGCTGATGAACTTTACTTAAAAAAGAAAATGATTAATGAAACAAATGCAATCTGATGACCCAGTACAGCAGTACCTGTACTATTATCTACCATTAATTAAAAATCAAACAGCGTTATAGTACCTTCTCCTTATAGTGCCATGTCATTTCAAAGGTTGGCGATCATCATGGGGATTTTAACTTTAGATGACACGCTTCTGAACAATGACTTGGCTTTGACCAAACCATTGCCTAAGATTCTTCAACCAAGACTTTGCCACGTTATTGTACTTTTTCAAATAAAGTCTCCTTCTTATCACAACCTAATGATTTGACAGTACTAGTTGCGAAAGAGTACTTGTTACTCGACTAAGTATTATAATTAAGGGGATTACGCTAAATTTAAATCTATTAAAATCAAAAACAAATTTTAATATCTCATTTATTATCATAATTATCATAGGATTTCATAATATCAATTGCCTTATCAAAAACAAGATCCTTGGCATGCACGCCCCACATGAAATCGATGTGACTGAATGTAGGTTCAGGCACCAAAACCTTGGTAACTGGTCCTCCCAATTCCCTGTACAATCGTTCCATGTCTTCCAACTTTACGAAGGGATCTTGTTGGGAATAATGCAGGTAAACAGGAGCTTTGAGCTGCGATAAATCGTAATTGGGTGGTGTTTCGGTTCCATATTCCAGCAAGTTACGTAAAAAGCCATGGTCATACCGCTGGAAGGTTTTCTCGACGATATTCTGTCCATAGTGGACTAGTTGACGCACGGCACATCCTGCCGGTGCGTGAGCAAGCTTCACGGGAAACATGGTCTGAAAATGTAATTGTTTTAAACGTCCGAAAAGTAGTATATGAATTTTGTACTTAAGTAGTTTTACTTGTAATTTAATAATATATTTGCAGAATTATAAATATGTTTTCAAGTTATTTATAATAAGAAATGTAGATTAATTCCTAGAAATTGTTATACGATGTGGTTACTAAAGTGCCGATGTATTTTTCTAAATATAATAACGAACACATTTTAATTAATATTTTACATACAGCATTGTGTTGTGATGGATTAAAACCAACTAATGTGAAGAGTAGAGCGCTGCATATTGGCTGAAATTCCATTCCATCAGCGCACAGCCTGGCTCCAGCCCATGTGATTATAGGACTCCTTGGAAATAACTCTTTTAGACCCAATTCTCCAAGGATCGCCTTAAACATAAAAATGGATGATGGTTAATTAAAATGTCAGTAAACTGCACGATAGAAACTAAGATAGGGCTTCCGAAGGCTGGGTAAATCTTAATCAAGACAATATTAAATTCAGATTTAGTTAAGTGCAAGTTGGCGCTTGGTAGATAATACCGGTGTCCCCAGATAATACAGGTGCTTTCCTCGCTCAACGAATAAGTATCGCAATACAGGGAGAAAATGCTATCAGCGTTAAAGGTACACTACCATAGGGACCACACATTTTATTTTTTTATTTTTTCTATTTGTGAATTTTAATTATTATTATCATTACTATGCAGGTAAAAAAATTGTAAATACTGTATGTTTGTGTGTTGGAGATAATTAAGCGCAAAAAATATCACATACTACACGAATACAAACATTGGTATGAAACGTTGAAACTTATTTCATATTAATTAAGAATTCTCTGTCATGTTTCATTTTCATTTAAGTAATTTGCAATGGCTCCACCATTTGTACGTTTAAACATCTCAACACGTTGAAAAATCTATTAGAGTACGCTTTTATATTGGCGTGGCATCACTAGTAACGTATTCCTTGGTAATTCCATTATTCCACGTAATAAAATAAGACTACAACTTACCTCTATAGCCTTTCTATGAGGTGCCAATGTCAAGAACAGTGAATGCTTATTATGAGCTAAATATGCAACGGGAGCCAAGGCCTGCATGGTGATAATCTTCTTATTATATTCAGGACGGAGAGATCCCATCACAAAGAAAACTGTTGTTCCCTGCGACATTCCAATATAGTGCAGTGCCGTTTGTCCAGTCTGTTCCAAGACATAGTCAATCATTGCTGGTAGATCCAAGTTTCCTATTTGGTCCCACGAAAAGTCCCAGAAACTGCCTTTGCCATCGTTTGGGTTTAATGTGAGGTGCTGGCGGGAAAAATAATTGCCTCGTGCGTTCCCTAGCCAAACATCGAAGCCGGCTTCCGCGAGAATATAGGCTAAAGAGAAAATATAGAATGTACGATAATACTTCGCAGCAGCGACACTGCAGGTTTGCGTTTTAGAGACCTTCGACCCCCACCAACATAATTGGACCCAATTATTTATCATAATCATAATAACTATGCACACATTTTTACATAAATATAAATTTTACTGTAATTAAATCCGTCTGTAACAGCAAAGACGGATTTATATCTAATCAATAAAATTTCTATATATTATAAATTGAATATAAGCAGGGTTGGCGTAGTGGCTTCAGCGTGCGACTCTCATCCCTAAGGTTGTAGGTTCGATCCCCGGTTTTGCACCAATGGACTACCACCAATGTACGCATTTAATATTCGCAAGGAGGAAAACATCGTGAGGAAACCGGTTTGCCAGACCCAAAAATTCGACGGCGTGTGTCAGGCACAGGAGGCCGATCACCTACTTGCCAATTAAATTGACAAGTGATCATGAAACAGATTCATAAATCTGAGCCACAGACCTAAAAAAATTGTAGTGCCACTGATTTTTATTTATTGAATAGTCCACACTATACTACTAGTGCTAGACAGGCTACTTCTAATTAATTTGCGATATTTGTTTTAAAATAAGTGTTGTTTGATGATTTGCTATTTTAAAAGAGTACCGAGAGGTTTTTACGCCGGCTTTTTCTCTCGGCCTACACCCTCTGTCTTCTTTGCTGATGAGTAGGGATGCCTACAAATTCAAATTTAATGACGTGGAATAAGTGATACATGTATCTTATGTTCCATAATAAACATATTTTATTTTATTTTATTTATTTATTTTTATATTTTATTTATTTTATTAAGTTGGTGTATATTATCTATATAGATAGGACGGCTTAAATTAACAACGCCAACGCATTCGCGAGTCCTCTGGCATTGAGAGTGTCCATGGGCGGCGGTATCACTTAACACCAGATGAGCCTCCTACCCATTTATCCCGAGTTCTATAAAAATTAACATATACTAATAATATATAATCAATAAAGTTTTAGAATCAGCACTTTACGTGCCTTTAATGTTTGTATTGACAAGCGTATTCCAAAATTTAAAAACATACAGTTTCACTTGTATATACATTAGGCTTACCCAAAGCAGTACCAGGTCCCATAATAACAAAATCAGCAGAGGAGGATAGTATTCCGTGCATAACAAGCACGGCTGGGCGTTTGCCAGGAGCGTTGTTCTGGTCCCGTCCGTGCGGTATTCTGTGTAGACCTAATATGTACCCATCTTGAGTTATGACATTGTGATGTTCGAAAGGGTAGCCGTATTTCTTTAAAAGGCCTCCCTGCAATTATTAATTAAAAAAGAACATATTATCGTCTAGTATTGCCGTTATTTAATAATCCCATCCGCCACCAACGATAACACCGAAAATTTCGTGTTATCTTTATATTATGTGTTTTTAAATCCTTTATCAATTGTACCAAATTTTTTACACTCACACTTCCTATTGCTGAAGCGTACAGAACTCAGGTAGTTTCTGAGATTATCATGTAAGTACAGATAGACACGGATTAGTGATATATTTTTATGGTAATCGGTGGGCTGAAAAGTTCGTAAGCTGACTTGTAGTTTGGCCCTATTAGTATTAAATGAAGTGTGATTTTTAGTTAGCTTTAACCTTCAAAAGTCACGTGTAGTTGAGACGTGTCGTTCTATTAGTTTGTGATATATAATATTTTGAGTGAGGAATCTTTTATTTTGTTTGAATAAATTGATAAAAAGGAATTTCGTGTTAATAAAGCTTAATGTTAATAATTGCTTTTTTTTCAAAAATTTACAAAATAAATTATATAAGAGGAAGAAGCAACGAAATAAATAAATAAATCAGTCATTGAGAAGTAGTTTGCTAAGTCAAAACGAGGTGAAATTAGCACCGAGGACGATGCACACAGTGGACGCCCTAAAAAGGCAGTTACTGACGAAAACAAAAAAGTACATAAAATAATTTTGGATAACCGCAAAGTGAAGTTGATTATGACAACTGAGACCTTATGTATATCAAAGGAACTTGTTGGACATATCCTAGATGAATATTTGGATATGCGAAAGCTGTATTCAAAGTGTGTGCGTGCAGCTCACAATCGATCAAAAACAGCAATGAATTGGTGATTTTGAGCAGTGTTTGAAGATGTTCGTATAAATCTGAAATTTTTGGAAAAGTTCAGCGACATATTGCCGTTCTGACCTCAAGAACATGCTGGACAGAAATTTTGCGTTGATGAAGAGGTAATCGCCGAAACTGAAGCCTATTTTGAGGCTCAATACAAATCGTACTATAAAATGGTATCAAAAATTTGAAGAATTTGTTTCCTATGTTAGCCTACGAACTTTTCAGCCCACCTGTTAAGTATGGATATAGTTGCATGTTAAACATAGCTCTATTTGTATATAACTTCAAAATATAAACGTTATATCATTTCCTGTTCATGTTCATGTTCATGTTCCTGTATTTGCGTACGCCGATAACATTTTTTTTGTAAGAAAACTGTATAATCCATACCTCATATTAATAATAAATATATAAGTCCAACCAGTTTGAAAGTACTCATCTATATCTTTTCATCACAGCGTAAACACAATTAGATAGAAAGAAACGTAAGACTACGCAAACTTGAAGAGCTCAATAATAATGATTTAGTTTCTATAATTAAATGGATAAAGCTTTACATACCACATCTAGCTGGGCATCCTCTTGAAGGTTATCAGATATTCTGGATTCAAAATCCGTGACTACATCAAGACCTTCGTACTCATTCGAAGGCCGCCATGCAACTGTTAAGCTAACACAACAAATTAGCAACAAAATTCGCCCCATATTTCACAATAACAACAATATGACATAACAACATATATATATAATGCCGATTAACTGATATATATTTACTATCGTTAATCCGATGATATAAATTGATTAACATCACATTGTAATAAATAAGGCATTTTCAGTTTTGGATATAAAGTTATTATTTTTAATTCATTTTGAATAAAGGATTTCAGTTTGACCTGTATCTGATATTATTGATATACTCGTACTAGCTGACCGGGCAAACGTCGTTTTGCCATGTTTATCATTTATAATAAAAAAATAGGGGTTGATCGTAGAGGGGTGAAAGTTAGGGGGTTGTATGTATTTTTTAATGCTGTATCAAAAAAAAAAATGGTGCGTGTACTTATGTACGCGCGTAAGAAGTTATACTTCTTTGGCTTTTTTACTTTTTTAAAATATTAAATAATTAATAATAAATATTTAGCGTTAATAATTTAACAATATTTAATATTTAGTATATTATTCAATTATTGATTAATATTAATAAGAATTAATATTTATTATTTTATTATATTATTAATTCAATTTAATAACTAGGTATGTTTCATAACCTTTTAACTAAGTAACAATAGGTCTTTGTGAAAAAGCATTGCTAAATTTCTTTGAAAAAATAATTAAAACTCCTTTATTTGTTTAAAAGGTACTACAAATGTCATTATGGTCATTCAAAATTCTTGGCATAGCTGCTAACGTCACGCATATTCTATTTCTTTTTACTTGTAGATTGTCTTATTCCCATCTCGCTCGCGCACGCTCGGCGCCCATACTGATAATTTTGTGTCGCGGTGCGCACGCATCGTAAAATTTCACTCTCATAAATTTTTCATAACGCGCCTAAAGAAGTATAACTTCAAAAATAAAAACAGAAAAACATATCTAAAAACAAAAAAAAAATATTGAGGGGTGGACTACCCTTAACGTTTAGGGGGATGAAAAATAGATGTTGTCCGATTCTCAGACATACCCAATATGCACACGAAATTTCATGAGAATCGTTCAAGCCATTCCGGAGGAGTTTAACCACAAACACCGCGACACGAGAATTTTATATATTAGATATTTCTGGGGATAATTAATATAATAGGTACGCAATTATTTTCACACTCTTAATTTACTTTAGGTTTAAGTTTAGGTTTACATCATACAATTTTCTATGAGGAAAATACATTTAACAGTAAAAATTTACTGATGTTTGTTAAAGAAAATAGATCGGACCAAAGATTTTGTTCGTACAAACTCACAAACATTTCCTTATTCATTCCATAATCCATGTCCACATTCATCCACATATCTATCTATCTATCTTATTAATTATATTTATCTAAATACGACTTTATAATAATACAATTATCATAATTCTGATATAAATCACTTAATAAATACTTCGTAAAATATAAACATTATCAGAAGATCTTCATAATATGAAACTATTGGAATGCCACTATTACCATAAACCATTAATATTATTTATAACGCCATCTAGTTTTAGCTCTATGAACCTTAGCGTAATCAGCTATGTAGTTAGTTATTTGAATAGTGAACAACATTTATATCATATGAATTAGTTTATAGAACCGTATTAGAGATGGCGCTGTTAGAAATATTCTAAAACATGCATGTTTAGTCTTTATCGCTCTCGTGCCACTATGAAAATAAATGAACGTCACATACTCTGTTTACAATTATAATTTATTTTGTGTTATACTTTTCATCTCCTTTTTTACCTCAGAAACCCCGCACGTCCAGTATATAGCCTAGCCTAGCAATAATTTTCTTTCTTATTTCTTGCTTGAAAGGAAAGCCGGTTTAAGGTTCTGGGGTAGTTATTACTACTTAGGCTGATTTGCAATCGCTCAAGATGGCAGCTTGCTCTTTCCACGACATTTCGAGATCCTATTATCTTCTGGGTGAATTTGCGTTGGCTTGTTTTCAACTTGGCCGCTTAAATTATTTCCAGCCGGTGCCCATGTCGCTGCGTATACACTGTTCGGCTCCACCACTGCCATGTATACAGTATTCCCGGATGCACCAGATGGTTTTAGCTGCTCTTTTGAAAGTGGTCATTTTTAATAATAATTGATTTGCCCGAATATGGTACAAAAATGTTATGGTGGTACAAGCTAAAGTTCACACATTCTGCCACACATAATGGCGTGCAAATTTTTCTTAAAAGGAATTTTACATAGAAGTTACATACATTATGAGTCATATAACTATTCTTATATTATTTGTAGTGATAAAATATCACATTAATATAAATTATTACGTTATCAAATTAATATTAATTATAATGTTTCACGAAAATAATTAATAATTAATTTCATAATATTTTTTTTCCAAAAGTAGTACATTAGGGTGTGTCCACATCCTAACTGCAATGAACCGCGCGCCTTGCATGAGTTGCGCTAAAGAGGCGCACATAACCATTGCCGTGACTGCACGCGCGCAGCTCGCAAACGGCTCGCGAGCTGCACATTCGCGGCGCATTCGCCAGATGTGGACGCACCCTTATCTCGATTTACAATTTCGCCGGTTTTATTTAGCTTTTGGTATTAGTATTTATCCTGATGGAGCATGGCATTTGTCTTCTTTGGTGCGAATTTTAGCTTGTTCAGTTCACACCATTTATTTCCCGTTTCGTAGTATCACTCGTTTATATTATGTCAGATAGCGTCTTATACGGGACCACCATGCGTTGTCAAGGTAACGGTTACTAGTTTTTTGTATTCTAAGCCTATTCTTGAACGCTGGTTTCCTCACGATGTTTTTCCTTACGGTAATACGGTATAATTAAATTAAAAAAACTATGATAGGGACATTTACGGGCCATTGTCTCCTTAATAAACATATTTTTGTCCTAGGCGCAACAGACAGCCCCATGTGCAGAGGCTGTTTCAGCGCAGAGGAATCAATCACCCACGTAGTCCTGCAATGCAAGGCTGTGGCTAAACAACGTACAGAAATCCTCGGAACGGAGGTCGCTCCGTGAAGCCTGCGAAGTGCCCAGGAGACTTCTGTGCTTTTGGAAGGAGTAAGGCTGGCTTACCTAGCCAGGACTTTACGTAAAATGGATCTATTGAGCGTCTTAGTGCGGAAACTGAGTCCACAAACCATACCATACTATACGGTATAATTAATACTAAGTTCATTATGGTCGTACGAAGCTATAGGCAATTGAAATAATAAGTACAATAAAAAAGACGATGCTGGTAAACCGCTTATGCTGATAGCACTTTGGAAATGTTACATGACCAAACGTCAATAGCAGTCTGTATCTAGTTATAAGCCGCTTAAAAGGCCGAATATTCTATGACCCGAGGGATGCAAAATGAAAAGTTGACCTTTCGCATCCATATTTTGTGCAGAGCAGATATTACATTTAATATTTAAAGCTTTACGTATGCGAGATCGTATTGTCTTATCAATTTTTCAATAAAATTTATTGAAAAGATTGAACTTGATATTCATACAAGCAATAAAAATTAAATAAATCTTCGGGTCATATAAAAATAAAATGAATAAATCGGTGCTGCTACAACCGTTTAACTCTGGGCCTCAGATTTCTGAATCTGTTTCATGATCATTCAATCTAACAAGTAAGTAGGTGGTCAGCCCACTGTGCCTGAAGCACACCGTCGACTTTGGGTCTAAGGCAAGCCGGTTTCCTCAGGATGTTTCCCTTCCCCCGTCCCCGTTCGAGCAAATGTTAAATGCGCACATAGAAAGAAAGCACTTTGGCATACAGCCGGAGATCGAACCTACGACCTCAGGGATGAAATTCGCACGCTGAAGCCACTAGACCAACACGGCTATATCTCTTCGGCTAACATAACAACATTATTTCCCAAAAAAAAATCTCCTAAATCATCTTATCTCAACCAAACTGTAATCAACTGTAATAAATGCAATTTCCTTAAGTTGTAAAGCCGTAAACACATCTATCAAAAGCAGAACTCATAACGAGGCTTACAAAAAAGCCTCGTCGACAAAGTTAGTGATCTTAACGGTTAATAACGAGTGTATTACGAGAAACATTCGGAAATAAGAGCAAGTCCGTTACAGTAACATTGCTCATTAGCTGGAGTTGTGACCCCCACTTTTTGCGACTAAAGGCGCTTATCCACTGGGATGTTTCATTAAGAGAATATATTTTTACATTCGACAACATACGCGGTGAAGGGTATATATATAATAATAATAATAAAAGCCTTTATTGCTGTAATTACTTATACTAGTACCTACACAATGTGAAATACTAAAAAATTAACACTAAAAATAAATACTAATAGTTAATCAGAGAGCAGTGTTGGCCTAGTGGCTTCAGCGTGCGACTCTCATACCTGAGGTCGTAGGTTCGATCCCCGGCTGTGCACCAACGAACTTTCTTTCTATGTGCACATTTAACGTTTGCTCGAACGGTGAAGGAAAACATCGCGAAGAAACCGACATGTCTTAGACCCAAAAAGTCGACGGCGTGTGTCAGGCACTGAAGGCTGATCACCTACTTGCCTATTAGATTTAAATATGATCATGAAACAGATTCAGAAATCTGAGGCCAAGTACTAAAGAGGTTGTAGCGCCACCGATTTTTTTTACTAATAATTAATCGGCAAGCCGGTTCATTTCTGTTATACTTGTTCTTGGACATAGGCCTCCTCTAACGGCTTCCTCTCTTCTCTGTTTCTAGCTTAACGTAGCCACAGAGGGCCAGCTACTACAGCTAGAAGAGTATATACCTATAGAGCTAAATAATATACGAATTTACATTTAATGTCTAGCTTGACAATTGTCACAAGTTGACATTTGAAAGTTGAAAAGGTTTTTTTAAATATTTAATAAAAACGAGCATGCGGGACGCTCAAAAAGGGCAATCATCGCACACCATAGATACCCATTTTTAGTGTATGCGTTGCCGACCTTTGAGGGAGGAGTACACTCTAAGTTTGAATAGATGCAGGTTGTATCCCCCACCGGCAGTTGAATCTATG